TATTTAAACTCTAGGCTCTTGAAGTTTCCTTAATCTTATGACACTTCCAATCAAAATTTATATGGTGCAAAGATACATGTATAATACGTAACATAATAAAAGAAATATAATACATAATATAAGAAAATGAGCTAAATTATAAGAACTCTTAACCGACGAGCATATATGGATATGGAGAAGGCGAGAGAGGTGTGTCAAGATCGTGCCAAATGGAACTCCGTAGTCTCTGCCTACCCCTCTGGGTGACAGGCGTGAGTGTTTATGCACGTATGTATGTAAAAGTATATTAGCTGTATACAATACATAAATATCAATATATAGTTACTGAAAAGAACACGGATGAACTATTACCACTATTATTAAGATGATTCTGACAATTTATTTTATTTAATAATAGTTTTCGAACTTTCATCTTGAAAGTTGCTAACTTTCCTAAATTCGAGAGGGTGTGCGGTCCAAATGAAGACAGATTGAACAGAGAAGGGGAATGGATAAAATAAAGCTAGAGCTATGCGGACGACATTGAAGCAAAAAGTTGTTTAACGAGTAAGTACTGAAAGTAGGAAGGGGATGGAGAAACATCAAGATATAATGTAGAATTGTGAGTGCACGGAGACTTCGCCGCTGACGAACAGGAATAGTTTAGTTGAGAACGATTAAACGACACTAATCGTACTTCGAAGATTGAAAATAAATCAAGGGCAGTTATTGAGTGATTGAATTACCGATATTCATTTTAAAAAAAGCATTACCATTACCGTTGCTCTAAAAATTTTACCTGTATTGTGGAAATATTTTATTCATGTACCTACATACAGTTTATACACCCTGACCCGGAACAAATGTTTGTCTGCTATACAAATAGATGTTCCATACGGCAACAAGTCGACACGGACTGTGGTGCAATTTCCAGATACTTTTTCGTAAACAGAATTATGTAGTTATGCAAGACCAGTATTACTGCTTTATTACTTCGCTAATCTCTATTGAATTGCAGGAGTTGCTGGTCTGTGAGTATGTTCACTTCCTTTGGTGTTAGTATGAAGCCAGCCACAGACGCTACATTACCGATTAGCAAATCAGGTATATCAAAATCAAAAGTTTCAAGAACGATAAGGTTCATTTTTTTTTCACAAACACGTTGTTTTTTTTTTAATTTATGCGCACCTATTTCTCGAAAACGAAATTTTAATTTTTTTTATTAAATATACTCATTATACTTCAAAGATAATTCCACATTAATTTTAAGACGAAATTTTCCCCCCTATGGGTGGAAAAATAGGGGATGAAGTTTAAAACGTAACGTATTAGATACCACTCTAGTTTTTACCTTGTACTTATGATATTCTTTAGTTACACTTAAAAGTTAAAATAATTAAACTTCAAAACATTTAAAACAATTTTCAAAAAGAAAAAAAGAATAAAATAATTTTCATATAGGTAATAGCTTCTGAATTTGGAACTCTAAACCTTCTTTAATAAATAATGTAGGCAGGAGCAATTAACAGCATAAATAGAAATATTTAGTGGTTTGTGTCAGCAATCCAAAACAGACAGTGCAGACGGTCGCGTCCTCATCAGAAATTCTCGAGGGTACTACAATAAATGTAGGCCACAGAGTTCCCGCTACCCGCCACTAGAATATTGCTTTGTCACTTGGCGACATCTCGCAGCTTTCCTAAGCCCAAGTAATTGGAAATAGCTGAAATAGACGTGTCACAGTAATACTGCTTCAATTTCAAGTCGGAAATGTTAGTGAGCGGAAATCTTACACGCTTAATCATTACTTTTTCGAAATTAAATTTCTCAACGATTTTTTTTACGGAATAAGTTCTTAAAATATATATTATTCTTAATATACTTAAAACAAAAAAGTAGCATAATATCCAAATATTTACAAAATTATGTGCAGATACGGCTTTTCAATTTGAAAAAAATATAAACGACAATCAAGAAACTTGGAATCAAAATTTAAATACAAGTAAGCTAAGTAGAAAGAAAGCAATGCTTACGTAATAAAATTTTAAGACTTATAAACTAAACCTGGATAGGAGGGGAGTCCTGAGAACGCAAACAAAATTTGACAATAATGTAGATTTTTAGGCTGCTTGAAAACTGCAAATTATCATTATTCCGTGTCAACAGATAAGTTATTAGTGCAGTTAGTTAAAAATTGAAATTTAAACATGAATACTAAAAGTAATTATTATATTTCAAACTAACCACACCAATAACTTTGTCAATTTTAAGCTTTTGTCCATAGAAAACATCAGTTTTGTATTGAGATGCGTATGCATCTGTTCAGTTTTTCGCGTTAATTCAGTTTCCGCGGTAAACAGGCATAAAATGAGGATAAGTGTGTACATCTATCATACGTACGCTTACGTCAGAGTTAAGTGCTGTTCCACCGCATTCAGCTGTTCCGCCGTGTTGACTTGACGATAAGTTGCGACTTGCATTGGTTGATACATTTTATTCGCAATCATTTCGCATACAATCATCGAGAGAATGTGTAAACAGAAATTATTTTGTATTTTGCTATTGTAATCCTGGTCGCAACAGTTCTGCAATTGCGTAAAATTTTTGAATATTCATTAGAAAATGTTCTTTAAATTTAATATTGTTTTCTTTTGATTCGGGTATCAATGTCGCGTATTCTCTAACCAAATTTCTGTTTCTACAAAGGCGGTCGACTCACTGTCGTTTACGTTTGCGTTTATTACGTTCCAGTTTTTCTATTTCTTCTGAAAGAATCGTAACGATAATAATGTCCCACATGGATCTGTCCATGGTGAGTACAAAATATTAACCGAAAATAGTTTTCATTTAATGCCTTCTCAGTTATCCAGCGCTGTACGCGTTAGATATAAATGTTTCGACGGAGATAGTACGCTATGACGGGCTTTTACAATCTTACGATGCTGTACGCGGCTGACAGGAGCAGAACTGAATAAGTGTAATCAAAATCATCCAGCGAAATGAGAATGGAGCTGAATAAATATAGTTACTACTTAAGCGGTCCCTAGCGAACCCTTGACGTTCGGTCCTATACACTTCACGCACTCTCGCTACAATACATATATCGTGTAATGTCGCCTCTACACGTTGGCCAACACAGTGGCGAATGGAGTGGCGAATATATTGGCCATACGTTGGAAGGTCGTTCAGTTAACAGAAATTATTTTGTATTTTGCTATTGTAATCCTGGTCTCAACAGCTCTGCAATTGCCCTACAATTTTTGAATATTCATTATTAATTGGCACTAAAAAGGCTGGTAATGGGGGCATCCACCCTACAAAGCTTGAATATAAAATTTAAATCAGATGCGTGTAATCACTCTGGGAGCTTGTAGCACGGCCAACTTGTGGACGCGGCGACCAAAATCTGCCAACAATCCTTTGATCTTTTGTAAAAAACCGACACCACACGGATCTCGCGCCAACTTGCGGGCCATCGTTCCAATACATACCAATGAAGCCCAAACACCCCGTCTACACGTTGGCCAATGCTATTGGCCACTACATTCGCCACTGTGTTGGTCAACGTGTAGAGGCGCCGTAAGAAATACGCTCAAATTTTAAAATATTTTCTTTATAAAACCGAATTTCAGTCCATTGAAAAAAATTAAATAGATCAAAATGTTCATTTATAAATTGCCTATCTATTAGTGTCAATCACAAAATAAAATAATGCTTACTTTATGACGAGATGCATGTTATCAATAATTATTTCGCATTTCTGGTTTTGTGTAACTCAATGATTTCTGTGGTTTAGTTGTAGGAAGATTCATCAAGCATTTATAATAATAATAAGCCTTTTTATTCTGAAATTCTCGGTTAAATATGTATACTAGACACGTTCTTGTTTGTTATAATATGTCCCGCAGCTCAGTTTGCCTCTTGGCATGGGCCTCCTCTAACGTTTTCACTGGGATCTGTCACGCGCTATCCTTCTCCATTGATGTCCAGTCGTGAGTTTTAGGTCGTCTTCCCATCTTGTTTGTTGGAGTCTACCTCTACTAGCTCCTAAAACCTCACAAGTAATGACTAGCGCGGGATTTCTCAAACACGCACCTTCATTCTTAAAGTTTAAATTAAAAACAGAGAACAGTAAAGCGTAAATATAAGAAAAACATAGAAGGTATTTATTTAGAATAATAAAATGATGCATCTATGCCTGGATCTAACTTATAATGTTTTAAATACCTACTTTTAATTACGTAATTTTCGAAACTAAATTAGTTATAGATATTGGCATAGAAAAATAATAGTCGATTTTAAAAAATGCCATAAACCACAAAAAACAGTCCATTTTTGCAAATTTATGATTTATGAGCTACGACGTGTTCTGAGTTTTCTTTATAATTCAATGATATTTAAATTATATGCCATTTAGAAACAGGTAACTATTTTTAAAATTTTCGTTTGCCCGTTTGTTGTAGCTAATCTTGGGAACAACTGAAGCGATTGCAATAAAACTTCACGAAAAAATAGAGTGTAATACCAGGAGTGATCTTTTCACAATTTATCTGAAAAATTTAGAGCTTTTATTAAAATAGAAATATTGATAAGATTAAATAAATGGATTTTAATTACTATCTTAAGACTAAATAACGCAACGCATTAGAGAAATCACCCAGCGATGTCAGAGCGGGTCGATGGTTATAAATTTAATTTAAAATTAATGTACCTACTTGCGTGTACAGTTTTTTTAAAAAATATTTTCTCATTAATAGAAAATCTTCAATTAACCGAATAACATAAGGTTATAACGATACATCGTTATTGCTGGTATAAGGATCACACTTCGATCTTCTCTCTACCCCGTTAGGATTGTCGTGAAGATAAGTAGAGAAAGTAAGCTGGTCTTCACTATTGGTATTGTACATGTTAACTGTACGGGCTCTATGAGCCGCCATATCTAATCCCATTCTTTATCAGTACGGGCTGTACCTACATATAAATTTACCATTTGTGAAATACATCTCTTTTCTCAACAGAACAACGGTGCCCAGCAATTGGCTTCAGAATCAACTGTTTACATAATGCTTGAAGATGTCAACGACGAAATACCTCTGTTTACGGAACGAGAGCAAGAGACCGTCCTCGAGGGCGAGCCTATTGGGACGAAAGTTACGCAAGTCAACGCCATCGACAAAGACGGCACGTTTCCGAACAATCAAGTAAGTTTTATTTTGTACAGAAAAATAGGAAAACAATAACAAATATAAAAATTTAATAGACATAAATTGCACGGTGTAATATAGTTACCGTGGGCTCTTATGTCCTTAAGCCGAATTTACGTGGTAACATCTAAAACAACAAAAAGCTAATCTCTATCGTATATGTAAACCGAACCCTTTTTACTGAAACAGCATTCCATCTCAGTCCTCACGGGTACAACCATCTCAGATAATGGAGGAGTCATCAACCACTTACCATCAGTACGTGTGCTCGTTTGTCACCTATTCTATATAAAAAAAAAATGACTTTATTCACTTTGCGTAAAAACAATGAAAATATGTGTAGATCTGTATGTTGGTATAATTAAAAAGACACATAATATTTACATATTTTGATATTCGTATTAGCTATTGTAAATTCTATGGTAATAGAGAAATAAGTAGAATATAGATAACTTTTTTATTTTTTTATGTTATAGTAGTACTTATTATGTTATAGTTATAGTAGTAGACTAATAGCACAGAATAAATAACAGTACTACGTACTAATAGAAATACAAACTTAATGATTTCTTATATTTACGCGAACACTACACATTGAAATAATACTAATTTTTACGGAATTTATCGCGTATATTTAACTTTTTTTTTATACCCGACGTTTCGACGAAGGACTCCTTCCCGTGACCATGGGTGCTGTAAAGCTCTCGAAACGTCGGGTATAAAGAAAATAAAAAAAAAAGTTTAATATACGCGATAAATTCCGTAAAAATTAGTATTATTTCAATACAAACTTATTCTTTCCTCATTTAAAAGTCATAGCACAAATACGAGCATCAAAAATGGACAACATATGCATGTTAAACTTAAATAATGACAAAAAAGAAAAGAAAAGCGTGACTATACGTACTACATAATATATATTTTTTAAATAATTGTGACACAAAAACTCTCGACATAATGCCCGCCTTGGTGATAGACATAATTAATGTATTAAATCAAAAACGTGCTTTTTGCATAAATATTTAAAATTAATACTAATGTGAAGAATGCATTCTTTCTAAGGTTCACTGTAGGAGTTCTCAGTGGTATTTATGATAGCAAATCAGAGCAGTTAATACTGCCAGAACAGATTTTTAATAAAAACTCTCCTGCAACTAAATTTTAAAATTTTGTTTAACTAGTAGAGGACAGGAGGCGATTTAATTTTTTTATTGTAAGGTGTTAAGATCTTGATACAAATTGGGAATTTCTGATTTAAAATGTAATATTCTATATTTTCCTAATACAGATCCAAAACGATAGTAAATTTATTACAATAACAAGTAATTTTTTAATTTTTTTAATTATTACCCATCGATATATATGTACTACGCTCTAGATATGGCATTCCCAAGGCATTCCGAACACTCAGTATGTTCAATTCAATTCAAATCATTTATTGCGAATATAGGTTGATACAGATGGTAATGTCATAGTTTATCACTTAGAGAACAAACATTTAGTACAGCTATATTCCGCCATTTGGCATGCAATATTCATTACATTTTATTAGTTTTATATTAAATTATTTAAATATGCTTTATTTATAATTGGAGTTCAAAATCAAAATTAATAGTGATATGTCAATTTAGATAATATTATATAAGTCAAGTCAATTTAGTTATACTGTCATGTATTAGTCAATTATTGAATTTCATATTTATCTTCGAGATATTCTTTCACACTGTAGTATGCCCTATTAACGAGAAATTGCTTCAATAGTATTTTAAAAATATCAATGTTGGAACATCTAAAAATGTGTAATGGTAAATGGTTATAAATTCGAGGGGCCATACAAAATATGCTGTTGTTAAATTGGGCTGTTTTGTTTGATGGAAAACATATTTTATGATTATTACGTTTACTGTGTAGGCACTCAAATAAAGAAATATGCGTAATAACAAAGACGGCTACCTCATATATATAAAGACATGGAAGTGTTAACAGTTTCAGACTAATAAAAAATGGTTTACAACTATCCGTCTGTTTTAACTTCACAATAGCCCTTACACATCTCTTTTGGGCTCTAAATATCATATCATTGTCTACAGAGTTACCCCAAAAAATGACACCATACCTTAACACTGATTCTACATAACCGTGGTACGCAGTGATGACCGTAGATTGATTCACAATTGTTCCAAGTCTATGCAGTGCATATGAAAACTGGTTTAATTTAATACAAATATCTTCTGCTTGAGATTTCCATTTTAAGTTTGAATCGAGATTGAGGCCTAAAAAATTTTGCGTATATAGAAATAAATTTTGGAGTAGCTTCTCTAGTACGTAGTACATATAACTCAATGTTATTACCACATATTTTTTTATCATATTCTTGTATTATCATCAGAATTTGAGCTATATTCAAAATTTCAAGTTTAGATCGGGAAGAAGAAGAGAATTACAGATAGATAGACAAAAAAGAAAGTGATCTAATAAAAACGTGCTAGTTAGTTAGTTACAGCATATATATATCACCCGGCACAGGCCTCCCTCATATCTAGAGGGTTTTAGGGCAAGGAATTGTCCGCCGCCCTGCCCCAAAGCGTGTTGGCGAACTTCATGTCTTTGAAATATTTTTTTTCTTATTTCTTAGACATGTAAATCAGCACTTCAAATTGCATTTAACAATTTCATTAGTGTCGGCGGGGATCGAACCCGGTTTGCTCGCGTACTGTGAAATATACATTGAGCGCTAACCATCTGAGCTACTAGAAACTAAAACCTAAATTATCACACACATCCACGCGGTATAGTTAAATTTATGTTCATACACGATAATTCTATATTCTTTCAAAAAATCTAAATTCTTTCAATTGGAGGTACTACGGGAATTGGATTTTTGAATAAAAATTGTTATTATTTTTTTATTGTATCATAATTATTTATCATTATTCATATTGATAATCGATGCAATTTCTTTTCAAATTATATGTAATTAATTAGGTTAAGAAATTATCACGTCACTACAAAATGCGCCATAAGTGCCTTATTTGTGACGTCATTATGTAAAAGTAAATGTTGAAAGCATTGTCAACCAAAGATTTGTCAACAGCTCGGATCTGTGTACATGATATTGTTAAAATTATTAAAAGGTTAGTGTAGAAAAATTATTTCAATTATTAATTAAATCCACTTATGTGTGAAACTGAGTTTATCAACATAAATGTGGTGATATCTCGGCTGTAGACATTTTTATTCTGACAGATTTCTTGAGAAATGAATGATATTCGATTCAATTTAGCTGAAATTCAAGGTGCTAAACTCAGATGAAGTAAAAAAAATTACTTCATCTGAGGTGCTAAAGCATCACTGTGAGTTTTATATAAATTATTATCACTATATAGTGTAATCATTACTTCGGTATAGTACGTAAAAATTAAATACGTACCTATTTTTATTAAACATAATTGAAAAAAATTTTGGGTATCACCAGTATCACGTGAAAGTAAGGCCTCTGCCTCGAATCTTGCGGGCAGCGGAGCGACGGCGACGGCGGCGCGGGAGCGGGGCGGGCAACGCAGACCCGTTCACGAAACTAGCGGGCAGATCGCGCGACACTATAGCGGCGTAGTGATGTGTTCATGATTGTGTTGTCGAGATGTTTGTTTTTATTTGCGAACGAAATGTCTGAACAACGGCGACAACATCTTTTTGATTCAAATTTATTTCTAACGCTCGATTTACAGTGGGCAAAAGAAGAAGTGAATCCCTACTACTTATAGGGCAAGGAAAAGAAAAGCCGAGTTTTATCGAAATTACGAAGAACAGAGACAATGTCCCGACAAATTCTACGACTACACCAGAATGAACGTAGAAACTTTTGACTATATTCTTGAAGCTATCAAGGGCGATTTAGAGTCTGTATTCAGTTCGTTTTTAATTTCTTCCCATAACTGGTTAACTACTTTTCTATTTTTATGGTTCACATCTTTGCTGTTCCATATCGGTGTTCTCTCAAAAATTGCTGAAATAATTTGCTCTTGCACGTCCGAGGACATTTCGAAACGTCACAAAAATTAATTGCACAGCACTGCAATGCAGATGTGCCTGCGGTCACCGCTTGACTGGAGTAAACCGCTCTTTGCCCGCCCCCGCGCCGCTACCAAGCCGCTGTTTTCGAGAGTCGGTCCATTTGATTTTACGCATAAGATCCTGCCGCTCCCGCGCCGCCGCCGCTGCCGTCCCGCTGCCCGCAAGATTCGAGGCAGAGGCCTAAAGGTGATAAAGCGATAGAGGATATGTTCAATTACAGAATAATCACCAGGAGATGTTTAAATAAGCTTGCTATACATTTGTAAACTAAAAATAAAACAAAATTCATTTCGTAGAAATATACAAATCTATTAATAAATCATCAAAAAATAATAAATCAAACTTTTGATGTTGACGCTTATATGTGAGGCAGCTAAGGGTACCTTTGTTAAATGTTTTCATAACTTTTCATATTAAATATACAGACAGCAGTGCGTATTCTTCGTAAATGCTGCATTTTAGGGTTCCGTACCCAAATACTAAAACGGAGCCAAATTAATGTCAATCTACAGTGTAGGTCTGTCCGTTCATGTATCACGGATCTGACCTGGAATTTACTTATTTTATTTATGTAGTTTTTTGGAACCGAAACCGGTTATTGAACAAGATATAGGCAATGAAATTATTTTTCAGTTCGGGGTGGCGTGGGGTAATCCCATTCATGCAAAATAAGCCAAAGTTTGCTTTTTACTTCCAGTATATGGAGTGTAATTGTTTAGACCTCATTGAGTAGAGTATCTACAAATACATTTTTTTATTATATTTTGTCTTTACAAAACTAAACTAGTTAAGGATTTTAGATTTCTGTATATTATAAACCATACACTGCTTTAAATAACAAATACATAAACCACCAATTCATTATGAAGTTTTAATCTACAACCAAAATAAACGAACATTTTTAGGTTATTTCTTTCTTTGGT